CCCCGCTCCAGCCGGGAGAGATGGGGGGGAGAGATGCGGGGGGGGGGAATGCGAGGGTACAAGGGGGGAAAAACGGGGGGAAAAAAGAGGAGAGAAAGGGGGAGGAAGGGTAGGGGGAAAAGGGGGAGGAATTGGGGGGAAATGGGAGGGGGAATAGAGAGAGTAATGGAGGGACAAAGGGGGGAAAAGGAGGGAATGGGGGGAAAAAGGAGAGGAGGAAGGGGGGACAAGGGGGGGAATGGGGAGATAGGGGAAGATGGGGGGATAGAGGGGGAATGCAGGGGGAACAACAGGGAGAGTGGAGAGGGACGGGAGGAAATAGGGGGGAACCGGGGGGAGCAAGGAGGGAACAAAAAGTGGGGGGATAAAAGGGGGGGTGAAAGGGGGAAATAGGGGGGATGGGGGAGAGTGGGGGGAAATTTGGGGGTGAATATGGGGAATTGAGAGGGCAACAGGGAGGAAGGGGCGGGGAAAGGGGGGGAAGGGGGAAAGTGGGGGACAAGGGGGGAACATGGGATCAGCTAGGTTGGAAAAGACCTCCGGGATCTTGGAGTCCAACTGGTGACCCAACACCCCCGTCACCCAGCCCATGGCACAAAGTGCCATGTCCAGTCGTTCCTTGGACACCTCCAGGGATGGGGACTCCACCACCTCCCTGGGCAGTTCCAGAGCCTGGCAACCCTTTCCATGAGGAAATTCCTCCTGATGTCCCACCAGAACTCCCCTGGCACAGGTTGAGGCCGTTCCCTCTTGCCCTGTCCCCCGGGAGAAGAGCCTGATCCCACCTGGTTCCAACCTCCCGTGAGGGACTTGTGGAGAGGGATAAAGTCTCCCCTCTACCACACCCGAGGGTCTCCCAACATCCCTTCCCCCTGGAAAACTACCCAGGGAGCCTGGAGAGGAGATGGCTCCAGGGGAACCTTGGAGCCCCTTCCAGAGCCTAAAGGGGCTCCAGGAGAGCTGGAAAAGGGCCTGGAGTGGCAGGACAAGGGGGAGTGGCTTCCCACTGCCAGAGGTGGGTTCGATGGGATATTGGGAGGAAATTCCTCCCTGGGAGGGTGGGGAGGGGCTGGAGTGGATTTCCCAGGGAAGCTGTGGCTGCCCCATCCCTGCAAGTGTTCAAGGCCAGGCTGGAGCAACCTGGGACAGTGGAAGGTTTTGGGGATGAGCTTTAATGCCACAACCCATCTCCCTCTTCCCAACAAAACCCTCCTAGGGATGGACACATGGACACATCCCCTGGGAAGGAGGGCGAGGGTCTCCCCTGGGCTACAGAACACCCCCCAACCTCCCAAGCACCACCCGAGGACACAATTTCGCTGCTGCTGAAAAAAAAGGTGAAAAAAAAATCAGCTAAAAACCCTCCAAATGCACATCCCAGAAAAGCTCATCCAGCTGGGAATTGCAGCAGAGCTGCCTCCCAACGGTCTGCGGGATGATCTCGGCACACCTTGGACACAAAGCGGCTCTGACAGAGGGGGAAAACAGGCAGGGAAGGCTTTGAAGCTCTGGCTCCGTTTGTACCTCAGCCTTTGTGTCCCGTTCAGGCAGAAAAATCCCGCACACAGCTCATCCTCCGGCCCTTCATCTTCCCAGACAGGTGGAAAGTGGCTCCGGTTCGGATGAAAAGCTGGTGCCAAATATAGTGTTTGGAGGCAGCGTTTGATCCTGCGGCACAGCGGAGGGAAGGTGCCCCTGGAAGCCCCGAAACCTGGAGCAGAGAGAAGGAAGAACCTCAGGAAAACTAGAAATGATCATTTTGTCGAGGATAATAAAGCAGGGAGAAGCAAAAATCCTGGGAAAGCTGTAAATGACTATTTTATTAATGGAAATACAGTCAGAAGCCATTCCAGGATTTTTAAATGGTGGGAAATAGCACATCCTAGCCTTTTCCAGAGGAGGGATACAGCACATCCCAACCCAGCCAAGGTTTTTCCAGAGCTGGGATACAGCCCATCACTGCCCAGCCAAGGCTTTTCCAGAGCTGGGATAGAACACATCCCAGCCCATCCAAGGTTTTTTAAATGGTGGGATACAGCCCATCCCGGCCCATCCAAGGCTTTATAAATGGTGGGATACAGCCCATCCCAGCCTATCCAAGGTTTTTTAAGTGGTGGGATACAGCCCAGCCCAGCCCATCCAAGGCTTTCTAAATGGTGGGATACAGCCCACCCAAGGCTTTTTAACTGGTGGGATGCAGCCCACCCCAGCCTGTGCAAGGCTTTTCCAGAGACAGGACACAGCCCATCCCAACCCAGATCCCACTAATTAACATATCCACGTCCTCAGAGGCAATTACATGGATACAGCTCCGGCTTCCTGCATTCCAGCAGCTCCTGGTGTCTGGCTGCACCAGAGCACTGCTGGAATCCAAGGGCCATCCCACATTTCCAGCCCAGCTCCAGCCCCAGAACTCATCCCAGTTATCCCCAGGGCTCTGTTTCCAGGCTCCCGCATGGAAGTGACACAGTTTACAAACAACTTTGGATTGTTTTGGATCAACTGGTTGCATTGACATTCCCTGAAGTGTGAAGGGGAGGAGTTTCCCTGGAAATTCCCTCTCTGCCCTTTATCCCGAGATGGAAAACGGGGAGCACAACACTTGGGATAATAATTATTTGCCATATAAAGCTGCTTAATTAAGACATTCATTTGACATTAATTGATTTGATCCCACCACAAAAGATGGGATCACCAAACCCACCCTTTATCCCACCTGAATCCTACAACCTCTGGAGCAAAAACAGGTATTTAAGAGTTTCCCAACCTGTGGAAAAGAAATGTTTCCTTTGAAATGCCCAGGGCACAGAGATGGACACGGATCCAGGACAATCCTACATCTCCAGAGGGATGCAGAGGAGAATTAGAGCATCCCAGACATCTGTCAGCTGGGTTATCCCTGTGGATAATTCAGATGCAGCAGGACATCATCACCCATTTCCCAGGAAAACCTCCAGCAGCAAGACTGGATTAAGGAATTGTTATTCCTTACTCACCCCTGGATGGATCTGGGCTGTTTGTGCAGGAATAACCTGGGAATATGAGGCCAGGCAGGATACTGTGTTGTTTTCCAAGCTGGAGCGTGGCATTCCTCAGGCACACAGCTTGGAATCCCTCAGAATCAGCTCCCAGGGAAAGTCCAGAGCACTGTGGGGAGCCTTAGCAGAGCTCTGGAGATCCCTGTAACATTCCAGGAAGGATGCAATCCACAAAAACCTCATCCAGCTCTGTTGATCCTGAAAAAAAGCACACGGATCTGAGGGTTAAGGATCTTCCTAAACCTGAAAGCAAAACTCTCCGGGAAACTTGGACAAGGAAAAAGGCTCCCAGATGTACAAACCCGAGATTCTCGGGCTTCCAGAAATAGCTGGAAACATGGGAAGCTTTTTATTATTCTTCTTATTCCATTTGGTTTCATTCCCAGTGCCCCCAGGCCCAGCACTTCCCGTCTCCCTGCTCCCAAATCCTGCTCCCGTTTCCATCCCGGCAGAACCAGAAAGTTTGTTCCTCCCGGGGTAACCAGCCCTTCTCCTCTTCCATCCCAGCCCTGCCAGATTCCCTGGACTGCTCCATTAGGAGCAGTAAAATCACAGGAAAATTGTATCAACGGTTCTCCTTGGAGCAGGGATTCAAACATCCACGTTATCCAAAATTCCTCCTCTCTCCTGCTCTATCCCAGAAAAACCAGGCTGGAGCAGCCACAGGTTGTTTCCCAGGGCTGAATTCCAAGGGGTGATGGCAACTAGTGTCATGGAAAGGTGTTTTTGGTGTGCTCATTCCTAGAAGAAGGACAACAGGATTATCCCAATATTCCCTTCAGAGGGAAAAGTCCCAGCACCTCGCCCACCATCTCTCACTCCCTTGGGAATACCGGTTATTGAATAATTTAGATTGGAAATTTAGATTGGAAAAGCCCCCCGAGATCCAACCATTTTTCCCAGCACTGCCAAGGCTGCCACCAATCCACATTCCCAAGTGCCACATCCACAGGAATTTGAAATCCCTCCAGGGATGGGGACTCCACCACTGGAGCTTGTCCCAACCCTTTCCAAGGAGAAATTTTCCCTGATATCCAACCTAAACCTCCCCTGGCACAACCTGAGGCTGTTTCCTCTGTCCAGCCAACCATATTTCCATGGAAAAGTCCCCCCAAACCAGAGAAACACCACACAGATGATGCCAGTGCTGGATCCAACTGGAATTTGGGAACTGCTTTTCAAATCCAAAGCCAAATGTACCCCTGGTGCCCATTCCCATCTCACCAAGTGGGAATTGCCTGGGTTTGCTCCCATTCCCACCATCGCTGCACCTTCCCAACCTGCTTCCCAGCCCTCTGCCTCTTCCCAGCATGATTCCCAACCCCTAATCCACTGGAGCCATCCCCCTCCATCCAAAGCATCTCTGAACTGCTCCTCAAATCCTTCATTATCCAGCAGATCTCTCCAAAAACCCGCCCTGCCCAGATTCCCACCTCCCCCCCATGTTATCCCTGGCTTTTCCACGCCCTGCACTGGGATAAAGTTCCAAGGCAGGGAAGAGCCGCTTCCAAGGGCCCCACAGCAGGAGCAGCTGCAGCTCCAACCCTCCTTAAATCCCCTTCTCCCAACCCAGAGGCTTCTCCTGTGCTCCCAAAAACCTCCCCCTCAAGCTGCCTCCGGGTTTTCCGTGGATCCTCCACCGCCGGGCGGGGGTTTGGAGGGGGGTCCCAAACTGCAGGTGCTCCCCAATCCCACCTTCCCACCTCATTCCGGCTCCGCATCCGCCCTCCCCTCGGTCTCAACGGATGCTCCGGAGCATTTCCCAAGCACTGAGAGTCCTAATTCGATTTATGATGGGAGATCAGGGATGGAGCAGCAACACAGCCCTAATTAGGGGCATTTTAATTATATCACGT